TGCGAACAATATTAATTATTGTATGCCCGGCCTTAAGAAGGCGAAGTAATCACTAATTGAGGCGACGATGGTTTCAATGCGCTCCTGATTGGGCACTTGAGGCGGTTCACAAAATGCGACAGTGATGAAGCTATAGAAATGTTCAGCTACACAAAGCTGCACAACTTCCAGCGGCTAAGGTCCTCTGTCAAGAGGCCCTCCAACTCAGGCCTTGTCCGCAAAAGTTCTGTAGCAAACAAACAAACAAACTAACAAACAAACAAAGGCCCAAAATGTTGACACGTCGCATTCTTTTGCCCTTTGCAAAGGGTTTGCTTCATTTACCATTCAATGCCCTTGGGGACTTAAGAGGAAAGATAGGAACGGAGAAATGACAGGACTTGTTTCGATGTGTAGTACTATAAATCATACGTATTCCAAATATTTCCGTGATATCTTTCCATGTACTTATTTCATGTATTACAAGACCCCATGGGATATATATATATATCATTATATCATTATATCATTATATGTCCATGTGGTTTCCAAAAAATCCGGCAGAATCCCATCCCCAACCTGCCCTGCGCCCTGTGACGTGCCCTGGTATCGTGGCCTCTTGGGACCACCCCGAAGAGCTTCTCCAAGGTCGCCAGCAGCCTGGCAAGTTTCAAAGACGAATTCAGACGATTCAAACATTAGAATAGATACTATACATATTATATATACATATATAGTGTGTGTGTGTGCGTGTATGTGTATATATATATATGGTATGTGTATATATATATATTATTGTATCTGTATTATGTATATATATATATATTATATCATATACAATTATATGCTATATACTAATATATGAATCATACACAGGTGTGCATCTGTTTATCTATTTATATAGTATTGGATGTATTGGTTGGAATTATTCACATGTTTGTTGCATATGTATCATATATCAGCCAAGCCCAGCCTGCAGTAAGAGGAGTGCGTCAGCAGAAACAATGTATAAATCTGATCGCCCTGCGAGCCTTCGGTGCTGCGGCACCATCGGGTGGCTTCTCTGCATACCTCAAGTCAAGGACAACTTCCAACCCTCATCCTATCGTGAATATCATGTCGTGGTTGTCAGCTTCAATTCTTCCACTATTTTTCTATCGTATCGTCTAATAACATCTTCCTCCTGTATCCTCTTGTTTCGATTGACCTATCTCTGCATATCCCTGGTTTTGGAACGACTTGGGCTGAAAAAAAACACTCGAAGCACTCGCCAAACAACATGACAACATGACAACATTACACAATGCAGGTCACTTCCGCTTCAGCTCCACAAGAGCTTCTGCTTTGTCCTTGCTTTCTAAAGCGACCTGTCAAGGTGACCAAGGTGACGCCGGAGCATCTGAGCATCGAATTTGCGTAGCGCAGAGATTACAAGGTGAATCATGCGTCATCATAACATACGGCATTGGGACATTTCCAAGAGCATATTGAAGTGTTCTCTACCTGCTCCTCAAAGTACACGGATAGAGCAGGCTTGAGATTGGCAGGCAGTGCCCTCCGCGCTATGATTCCCAAGGATTCCAAAGGTGTGATCAATCCCGTAATACCGTCTTTTGCTTGCGTGATCCGTCGGGTGCAGGTTGGGTACCCTGTCTTGGCAACTTGTCCCAGCCTCTGCTCGTGACTTGCCATCTGTGTAGATCTCTTTGGTGGCGATCGTCAACAGCGGATCCTTCAGGGTGGTTCTTCCCATCTTTAGCGAATCATGACTGCTTTAAACGTATCAAACGTGTAGTGAGTATTTTTTGACATGCGCGCCGCTGAAAACGTTGTAGCTCCCACTGTTTCATAGACTAGATCCCCCCCCGCAGTTTGACCCCCCCAGATCCTGGGGGCTTACCAAGCATCACCAAGGATTTTGGGTCCAGAATGTGAGCACTAGAGATGATTGAATTTGTCCCGAAAGCATGGTTGGTAGCAAGGCTTGGTAAGAAACCAAGGTTTTGTAGGACGCATGGACCAGAAACAGTAATGGGGTGACAATCTTAAAAACTGCGCTCACAGACCCTAATCCACAAGGAAAAAAAAAATGGCTTAGTAGCCCTTAATAATGGTTTTGCCTTGGAAACCTAAGAAAATGAATGAAAATGATATAGTGGAGGTGCAAAGTACTGGCAAGCCTCTCTGGTGTCTCAATTTGTGAGGTTTTGTTTGCAAAACATCGGATCAGACCAACGCTCATTTTCTTTGTCAACTTTGTCGATGGTAGAGTCAGCGGATATTTGTCTTGACTGGACTATTCGTCTGGCCACATGCAGTCAGGAACAGGGAAAGGGTTAAAGTTGTGGCCTCACTTGCTCCCACCCTACTAAAGTTTGCTAAGCATCTTGTGTTTGTGGTTCTCAAATGCTGGTTCCAACCCTCTTGATCCATACTATGCCTTAGTAAGGAGGTAGGTTTTCCCACAAATCCATGTTGATCAAATCAAATTGATGCTTATGACATAGTCACACTGGAGTTCATGCAAGTACCCCAATCCAACACGCTCAATACGGAATCCAATATTCTGCATAAGTGGTGGCTTTTGTGGTATTGCGAAAAGCGGACTCACTGTTTTGTGCCACTTCGAATGGTCCACTGGGGCTGCGGAGTACACATGCATGCACTGTGGTGACATGTTTTACCACAAGTCATACAGGCAGCCAAACCTAGCATATGGTGCGTATTTTGCTTGCACCCTCCTTAAAATATGGCGCCTTACAGCGCAACTTCATTTGAATTATTCTGTACGTTCTGCATTGCGTATTGGGCTCGGTTACGCATCTTTCGGTCCTAAGACCACATTGAAACACTTTGTACACGGTTTGAATTTCTTCACATCTGTGCTATTACTCAACGTAGGACATTGGTCCGTTGAGTGCACTCTTTCTCCATACCTTGTGAGGTAGTACACCTCGTACTTGGCCTTCTTCTTGCTTTTGCATGGCCACAGTACTATGTCTCTGTACAGACAGCAAAGTGCCGTCCCTCCTACGCAAACACTCACTAGGTTGAAAGTCAAGCTGATGAGAAACAACAGCATTAACGTTTCAATCCCGGTGTTTCCCGGCATGATGGCTTTGCCGCCCCACAACACAGGTGTGTCCCCCAAGGTTTCCATTTCGTTTCACCCCGGAAGCGTGTTGTCGAACGCTAAGCTTTGAGCCGGTTTGCGGTTTCCATCGTTTGTTTTCGTTTTCATTCACAGAACCTATTGTTCTCATGTTTGTTTTCGACACGTGTTTGTCCAGTCCATCCTCAGTCAGGTCCACGAGTCCTATCAACTCGCATCCGTTTCGTACCAGTTCACCTGTCGCGAGGTGTTTTGTGAGGATGTCTGCGGGATTCTTTGTTCCGTCGATTTTACCTATGATCACTTGTTTTGTTTTCACCAACTCTTGTATGTAAAGGTGTCCTACTGCTATGTGTCTCATCTTTCCTACACCTATTTTCTTTCCAGCTTGTATGGCTGCTGACGAGTCACACCAAATCCTCGGTGTGTCCAGTTTCATTCCAAAATCCTTTTCAGCTAAGTTTCGCACAAATACTGCAGTCTGAGCACAGTGCGTCAGGGACCTTATTTCAGCTTCCCCTGAGCTTGTCGCTGGCGTTCCTGGTTGCGTGTGCGATGACGATTCGACGAGTGTTCCTCCTACGAAAATCGCCTCACCGCTTGTGGAACGTCTGCTTTCTTGGTCTCCTGCCCAGTCACTGTCACAGTAGCAGTGCATCGGGATTCCTTCTCGGATGTCGATCCCCTCTGTCAACTTTGTCACATGCCCATAGTTCGTGGTTCCTCGGAGATACCTTCCCAGGACTTTAAGGTTGGCCATGTCGCATTCCCTTGGTTCCCGAATGCGTTTTGCCAATTCCTTGGTACTGAACTTTATGTCTGGTCTGTCCTGAGATAAGTAAATTGCGCTTCCCACACAACTGGCATATATCGCTTTCTGTTTCTCGTCCAACAGTTTGTCCTGTGTCAGGTCAAGTTTCTTTCCTGGCACTGGTCCAGGCTTGGCATTTTCCAAACCCAGTTGTTTCAGTATCACCTCTACATGTTTCGCGTTTGGTTTCGTGATCACGGCTTCTTCGACATTGATCTTGGTCCTTCCAAGAAACTCTGAAGTTGTTTTACTTCCTACAAACGGGTATTCCATCTCTCCCATTTTCAGCTTGCAACCGTTCTTTGGAAATTGAATCATCAGCAAATCATTCAAAACTTTCTCGGGTCCACAAATGTCGAAATCATCTATGTGATGAATCAGCACTGTTCCTGTTTTCTCACATTTGTACACACATCCATCGATTGCTCCTCGCTGAAACTCATATTGTTCTGGTGGTAACTCTTTAGTGATTATTTCTTCTAATCTGTCTCTGTACTGTGCTGCTGCTGACTGACGTCCGTACAAGTTGCCATCCACTTGCCACAGGATATGTTCCTTAGGAACGTCCTTGAGTTCTTCTTGAACTTCCTTGGGCTGCAACAAGTACCAATCGTCGTAGTCTTCCAGCCAGTCCTTAGGTGGTTTCATCATCACAGGTTGTCCTGTCTTGTCACCTTGGTCATTGGCCATCAGAAACGCTGATGTGAGATCTGCTTTCACTCGTGGTAGTCCTGTTGCCATACTGTAGACCTCCAACAATTTTCTGGAACATCCATGTGGTGTCGGACAAAAATTGCTTGGTGCTTCCGACGTGTTTCTGTCATTGTCCTGTCCCTTTCGTTTGAAGTCCTGACATGTCAACCTTGACTTTGCAATTCCTTCACTAACCTTGTCTACCCATTTATGACCAAACACTGTTATTTCCTTTGGAATCAATCTTCCGTCTCTCGGCGTAAATTCTCCAAAGTCCTCGTTCAGCTTCTTGATCTCCGTCTTTCGAGCTTTCTTTTGTTCTTCTTCTGCTGCTCCAATTTGGTCCAGGTAGTCCATGATGTTTGCCACCATTTCACTCTGGAAGTACTCCTTTCTCTCATCTAGCTACTTCTGAAACCATACATGGTCCTTGTTCACTGGCATATGGTATTTCTTCCTCATTTCTTCCGCATCTGGAACTTCACCGTTACTGACTCCAGAAACCATGTCCTGAGACGCTGTGCCCGCTGCACTCATGTTGTCATCTGTTGGTGTGTCTATGCGGTACAGTTCAGGTTGTCCTGGATTCATTCCGGTGTCGCCCGGTACGGCACTAGAGGTTGTACCCTCTGCCAGTCGTGGCTTCTTGGAATCCTTTTCTTCAATCTCGATCCTCTCTCCTTCATCGTCCACCTGCATCTCTGGTGCTTTGTCTTCCTTCTTTGTGCTCTTCTGTGCTTTCCCTCCTTTCGGTGTACTTGGAGCTGATCTTGGTGCATTCCGCAATGGTGGTACAATAGGTTGTGGTATGTGAACCACCTTGGCTTTCGCCATTGCTTCTAGTCTGTCATCAAAGATCGGCTCGTTCTCTTGTTTCGATTTGTCCTCGAAATCATAGGTTTCCTGTCCTTCGATTTCTGGTGCCACAATAGCTTTCACCTCCGATGAGATTGCCTCCGGCTTTGCTTTCTCGATTCCCAACACTGTATTCCATGGGACTCCTCTCGCAACTTCCATCACAGCATCTTGGAACTGTGATCCAACTGGCAATCTTCGGACTGTTCTGAAACTAATAGCTCCGGCACTTGTCAACATCATGTGCTCATCTGAATTTTCTTTCTTTCCTGCATAGATTCCTTTTGTCCATCGAGGTGCAGACTTGTCTTTCACCTTTGGAAATTTTCCCATCACTGTCTCTCCAAATGGTATCAACTCACCCACGTAGTCTCTGCCCTTTATCACACGAAACGCTGTGGTCTTGCTCTTGTTGACATGAAACCTTGCTAAAGTCCATGCGCTGTGACGCACGATCCATGGGAACACGTAGTGCTCGGTTCCAATTTTCGTTGCATAGCTTTCAGACAACTCACACAGCCATGTGCGAATCTTTCCAGCTATCAGTCCATTCACCATTTCTCCATCTGCAAGAGACTGTGAGCTATACCGTGGTGATTTCCGAATCTCTACTCTTTCTGGCATGAGATCCCTCACTCTGTCAAACAACTTGTTCATGGAATTTTCCTGATCTATTTGTATTGTCACTTTGTTCCATCTCAGATCTCTGATCCAAGCTGCCAACGCATCCCTTGAGTAGTACCCTCCTCCTTTTGATGGGACCACCATGGCGAAGGGATACTGGCTGTCCTTGCAAATTGCCGTCAGCACTGTGATCAGTCCTTTCTGCTTCTTTCCTTCACTTCTATTCACCATCTCACCATCCACACTGAAGAACATGTAGTCGGAGTAGATGATGTGTTCTTTCTTGTCTTCCTTGCTTCTTCTATGAGGTGCACCTCGTCCTTGTCCTTTGATGCAAGTTTCACACCAAGGTTCGAAATTTGCATGATGAAGCCTGTGCTCCTCACGCTGTTGTGCACTCGGTGCCTTTGGTACATCTACCTCCTGTGCTTGTTCTTTCACTTCTCCTTCTTCATGAAGCTGTCTTTGCTCTCGAAACACTTCACGTTCGGCTTGGTCTTGATCAATTGGATCTGGTTGTACTCGATCTTCTACGTACACCCAATCCAAAAAGAACTCATCCATGTCTTGGTCTGGGTCACGTACTCCTTCAACTTTCTTTGCTTCTTCAATCTCTGCATCCTTCTTTTCAGGAATTTCAGTCTCTGGCTTCAATCTAAACCACGATTCTCCCAGCCATTCTCTGCCCATGTTCTTGGCAGATGTCTGTTTTCTTGTCCACAAACTCTGGTCTTCCACATGCGATCCATCTTCGGAGAAATAGATCTTGGTAAGTCGACCAGGTAGTAGTCGATTGATTGGAACAGGAAGATCAGCCATTCGCTCTGGGCTGAATAGTTGGAATCGTGCTGTGTTGTGCACACGAACCACGAATTCTCCTTCCTCATTGGTCTCCATTCTCCAGGTATCAGGTTCCTTTTCTTCTTCAAACCTGACTCCTTTGACTGGTGCTATTCTTTGTGTTCTCAAATTTCCGTTTCCTGAACTTGACGAACTTTGTTGATCATGTTTCACTTTCAAATACCATCTCTTTCCATGCAATTCCAATGGAATCCTTTCATTCTGGTTCGTAACCAAATGACAGTTGTTCTTTTCAAAATGCACGGCATGACCCTTTTCCACCATGTTGAAAACTGACAGCAAACTCTCCGCTGAGTCAGTCACAGTCATGTCCATCAGTCCTTTTAAGTTCCCGACTTCAATTTTGGGAGATTGCTTTCCATATATTTTGAGTGGGTTCCCTTGAACACCAAATAAAGGTTTTCCTTTTGTGGAATCAACCGGTCCAACAAAATCCCCATACTTGGCAACGTTTTCACATGCTCCTGAGTCAACCAAAAGATATCTGAATTCATCGCTCTCAGACAATGCACTGACCTGAGCATCCCTGACAGTGAAACAGTATCGGTCATGTTCACCAAAATAGATGTTTGAAACCGATCCAACTCCGTTTCCACTGTTTGGGTTCTGTTTCGTTTGGTTGTTGTTGCCTTCGGTCTTGTTGGCGGTATTTCCCGTGGTGGTTGTGGTTTCATCCACAGATGATACCTTCCACCAACAGTTCTTTGCGACATGTCCGTACTTCTGGCATACGTGACATTTCTTTCCGGCATCAGGATTATTCACCTGACTTCCTTTGCCACCTTGCTTTCCATCACCTTTTCCTTTACCTGTACCTTTGTTTTCGTGTCCTTTTCCTTTTCCTTTGTCTTCTTTACCTTTGCCTTTTGCTCCACCTTTGCTACCTTTGTCGTTGTTCCAAGAACCTTTGTGTTTGCTCTTTCCTCTTCCTTTGTCATCTTTTCCTTTACCTTTGACCGCACCGATGTCCATGGGTGCCGGTCCTCCGTCATCAACCTTGTTTGCCGCCTTAGTGATTCCAAACTGGGATCCTTGCGGTCTCTTCCAAACGTTCTTGTTGATGAGGTACTGCTCGATGTAGTCTCGAATCTTCGCGTAAGTGCCCAACGCGTCGCTGTGCATAAAGATGCTTTGCTGAAGCTCTGGAGGTGCTACATGCGCTAAGATCGAGACCTTTTCCTCTTCTGAGAAAACACTCTTGGAGGTTCGTTCAAACTCCCTTAGTTCTGATTCCCACTGATGGAGTGCAGTACTCCAATTGTTTATGTCTTTTGGGAAATTGGGGTTACTCAAATGTCTTCTCCAAACCCATGCTTTGGTTCTGCACGATGGCTCAGACAGTCTGACCAGTCTGCGCCAAACCTCAAATCCATTGGCTGTGTGCAGTCCCTGACCCACTACATTCATCGTAGGCTCCGGACAGTACTGTACGAGAAACGTATACATCGCCTTGGCCAACAAATCCTCTTCAGGGGTTTGCATAGCATCATCCAAGGGATCCTTACTTTCCCCAAACTTTTCCAACATTTCAGGGTATTTGGGGTGAACAGTGGAACTCCATGCTACGAACACATGTTTAAACTTTTCCCATCCTTCTCTTTTACCATCCCAAACTTGCGGCTTTGGGACGTTGCTAGGGTGAATCAGTTTTGTCATTTCTACCCCAGCTGGTTGTGTGCTGCTTGCCTGTGCTTGCTGAGCCTGGGCAAGTTGTGTTGTTTGCTGTGCCAGCGCCTGTGTCCTTTGCGCTAGCTCCGTTTCAGTCCGGGTCAATTTGTCCGTCTGTTCTTGCAGTCTCGCTTCAGTTTCGTTCAACCGTCTTGCTTGACTTTCAAAACTTTGGTTCGCACGTTGCAAACCTTCCACCAATTGGTTTTGCTGCGCTTGCATTTGCGCGAGCTGTGCTTGCAACTGTTCTACCGTTGCCATCTTTACAGGCTATGGTACACGAGGCTATTTACACTTCTAGTGTACAGATGCCCCTATTGGGCAGGCAAGGGGTACCTACTGGAACCTACCGTTCCAGCGGTATTACCCACCTCGATGCCAGCCTCTGTGCCAGCCTAGGTGATACCCTTCTGACCACCTACGTCCGGCCCAAGCCCTCGACTGGTCGCTTCCCCAGTTGCTACTCCAGGTACTCCTCGACCAGCTTGTAGAGCTACTGGAAGCTGTCTCGCTCCAGTTGCTTCCACGGTCCTCCAACTCCTCACGCTGGTAGTCCCGCTCTTCACGGTCCTCCAACTCCTCACGCTGGTAGTCCCGTCCTTCTTGGTTTCTTTCGCGCGACCTTTCCTCTGAGTCTTTCTGGCTTCTCAGCTCTAGGTCCTGAACAGCTCGGGCGACTTCGGAGACACCCACTGAGCTGCTACTTGCCGCTGAAGACGCTTGCTCGGTCTTCGGCCTTTCCTCTTCTTCGGGCGAGTCGTCGACCTCCTCCTTGAAGTTCCCGAACTCGTCCACAGAGTACCACACGCTGGTTGCCGCGTGCGTTTCTTCTTCTTCTCCTACTTCTTCCTCTCCACGCTGCTCAGGCGGCGGCAGTGTGGTTGGCACGACTTGTGCCCTAGGTGCAACGAGTCCTTGTGCTACTCGTCGACCTCCTTCTTCCTGGGCAAAGGACTTTCTCGCCTTTCCACCCGGTGTAGACTGTACGACTTTGGCGAGGCTCGGGTAGTCCTTCTCGAACTTCCCCCACACGCGCTTGGTCGCTCCTCCTGCTTTGCTGTGTGTTGGCAGACCACCAACCACAGTCCTGTTCACGTCCAGAAACTCTGGTACTTCTTGTTCTGGAACGGCCTGAAGTCTCAAGCCTTCCACGTAGTCCAGCTCGTTGTGGTCCGGCCTGTTGGTCGTACCGCTGGCTGCTTCCACAGTGGTGTTCAGCAAGCCTTCTGCACGCCTTGCTGCCCCACGTAGTATCCGCCGCTCTATGGCTCGGGCGGACCTGGTTCTCTCTTGGGCTTTTCCTTGGCCTTTGCTTTTCCCTTCCCCGTCTTGCCGGGGATTTGTCCTCTCGTCGGAGAGGTCCAGGTGCTGCTCCACACGCAGCTACCAGTCTTCTTCTCCTCGAACTCAACGAGGCGCAAACGCTGCTACAAGCACAGCTGTTTGCAGTGTTACCCGCCTCTTACGGGCGGTGTAAACCGTCTGCGGATGCCGGCCCTGATCGGTCAGGAACCAGCTCCGCTACCATGCGAAAAGCGGACTCACTGTTTTGTGCCACTTCGAATGGTCCACTGGGGCTGCGGAGTACACATGCATGCACTGTGGTGACATGTTTTACCACAAGTCATACAGGCAGCCAAACCTAGCATATGGTGCGTATTTTGCTTGCAGGTATACCGGTATACCTTAGTAAGCCTTACTAGGGCTTAGTAAGCCTTAGCAAGCTCCATTTCACATTTGGTGCATTTTACATGCATTTGGATAATCCTTACTAAGCTCCCATGATCTGGGGGGTCAAACTGCGGGGGGGCATCTAGTCTATGAGACTGTTGTAAATCCGGAAACCACCAGAACAAAGAATGCGGACGCATATGTTCATTGTGTTCATTGTGTTCATTGTGATCCAGTGTTGCTTGCTGTTCCCTTGAGCCCTTCCCTGTCGAATCCTGGAGCATGGCCAGCGCTTTGGGGTTGCCCTTTGCAACGCTCCAAACGGTCTTCACGGAACCAACACCTGGGAAAGGCCCCATCTGCCAACTGCGCTGGAGCAGTCCACCGTGGTCCACCTGCTTCACTAGTCTGTAAAGTTTTGGAAACCTGTGGGAAGCACCCTCTTGGATCCTTCCGGCCTATTGCGGTCTAGTTATGCCTTATTCTTCTTTGGATCTGATTTCCCCATCCAGCTACTGCGGCAGACTTTTAAGGCTTGGGCAGTTGAAGTCCAGCTGCCGCTCAACTTCTCCCTGCCAAATCTGGAACACTCTAGAATGCAGTCCACGTTTGACTGTCCTGTTCTTGACAATAAAATGTGTCTCCTGACAAGGACCTGAGTTACAAAATCTTGCACAGTACTCTACCTAGCAGTGTTCGCTCCTCAGCTGAAAGCAACCTCTATCAATACAAGCTTTATGTTCAAATGTTCAGCTCTACAGGCTTCCAGGAAACTTGCAATGGTCACTCCACTTATAAGGTAGAACGTAGATGCAGCTCGCACCTAGGGCTTAAGATATCAGGTGTTTTTAACATTAGAGATGTTCTGACCACAACTTGATCATGCCACACGCAGTGGGGTAAGCTTGAGATAGGCTTCAATCATCTGCAGCGGAAGCTTGTCAAAACGTATAAGATCACTTGAATGCACTGGCAGCCAGGGCCGTTGGAAAACACTGCAATCTTGCCAGGTCAAATCACATGCTTCTCGCCTTGACGCTATCCTGCAGCATGTGGATCAACCTGCAATTTGAGAGGGGCTGCCACCACAGCGGGTTCGCCCTCAGGACTTGTTCTGGGGTCAGCTGTGCTCAACTTGTTCAACGGGGTCAGTATTAACCTATACATTAAGCATGAAAGATTCAGTATCACAGTATCACGTTTTTCACGGCGCATCCGTCTCACCGGATATAGTACTGTTCGAAACCAGTTTGTGGCATTGTGGGGATCCTCAGAAAAATTCAGACGCAGACTTTCCGTAACTCCCTCGGAGTTTGTCAGGGTTCAGGATCTTGTACCTCTGTCGCACAGCGACACAACATTTTTCATGTAGCGTTCAGTGTAGCAGTGTAGCATACATTTGAGCGAATAAATGACAAGACATGACAAGACATTCTTGAAAAATGCAGGATGAATCAGGATGATACAGGATGTGCTGGGCTGGGACTCACCAAGGGCATTTGCATTTGCCACATACATGGGACATACACAGGTCCCGCTGAACGTGCCTTCTGCCGATCTCAAAGACCATGCGGAAGAAGTAGTGGTTATCAGCTGGCGAAATGGCTGATCTACAAAAAAGGACGCCTCGTGGAAGCCTATGGTCGCGCTTCACACAAACAAATAAAGTGAAGTCATTCACCTTTGGGCTTCCATCAAAGTTCTGGAAGTTCTTAAACTTCCATCATGTCACATTGCAGAGTGGTTTTGTGATGTTTTGTGGATGTTTGCTGTTTGCATATGCTAAACATAGTTTGCTTAAGCCTGGCAAGCCTTGCTGCAGCTGTATACCAGCTGTATACCAGCTGTTAAGAGATGGCAGGCTGGCCAAAACTTCGCTCCATCAGCGGCCGCCGCGCAACATCGAAGTTGTTGGCCACCACCAGGCCAGCCAAAGTGGCACAAACCTCGTCGGTGGTTTTTCTATTTTGTGCCATATATCAGGTCATAGGTGGTGAAAATGAACTTTTGCAACATAAGAATACATAAGAGATGTTCAGAGAAGACCTTCCAAGATTGATTCCTCTTGTAAGCCTCTTTTTGATCTTTGCAACGCTCATGTTGCCCAACGGTGAACCATATGTGAACCCGTTTGGAGTCCAAGAAGCATAAGCACTTATCTAATAAGAAACCAGGACATTTTTACATGTCAACAGCCAAGTCACGGATATCAACAACCTCAAGAAAACATAAGAAAACCCTGCGGTGGGAGGCCTGCTGGATTTGGAGCGCCATACGTTTAGCTTTGGAGCCAGTGTGGTAAACATCCACTTGGTCTGTGTACCTGGAGACGGAGACATGTCTGGCAGGCGCTCCAATGTCCAACTGGGAAGCATTCAGTGCATTCAGGTTCTGGCTCTGAAGTCCAACGAAACCGCGGCCAACCGCGGCCAACATCGGCCAACGCCTTTTTGCGCAGTCGAACCGCATGCTGGCATGCTGCTTGCTGGTGACTGCCAACCCTCAGATGAAGCTCAGGGTATCTCCCTGCTCAGTCTTCTCCATCTGCCCCATCTTGTTGAGCCCTCTGTACAGTGCAAGGGCTTGCAAGCCTTTAAATGACACGCTCAGAAAGCAAACACAGAAATCCAGTAAAGTATAGTAATACAATATTTAGTAGTTATATTAGTAGTTATTAGGAATTGGAATATCCAAGGTCTTTTGAGTGATCCGAAGAGAATTCGAACATCACTCACAAATCTTCCAAGAGGATTTTCTCCCGACCATAATGACATAATGACCATACCATCAAAGCTTGCGATTCCATGGGTCGAAAGCCATGGCTGTCAGCTCTGCCCCATCAGCGCAAAAGCGAAGCCCTCTGCTTTTGTCGCTCCTGACATGTGCAAACTCTCCACGCTTCGAGCCTTATTCGAACGTATTTGATAACCATCAATATAGTGACAAATATTACATTAGTGATAAACTGTGATAAGATGTCATAAGATATGATTAGCAATGATGTAAATGATTCGGCAAGACTCCCACCCAGCTCCTTGAGACGTGCCAAGAGCTCAGTGCCTTCACTTGACGGGACAGTACAAACACACGTTGAAGCGGGAAACGGTTTAAGTAGGATGGAGATGGATGGAGTAAACATATTTGAATCGGATTGGATTACATGGACACAGAATGGTGAAGATGCTGAAAACAACTTGCAGGATAGACTGAGGAGTGATCTCATGGCACAAATGGCATATGATTTCAAGCATCATTGGACCCAACACCAGGCATCCACAGGCTTCCACCAGGTCTCCGGACTGCTCTCTTCCCCTTTTTGCTTTTTTGGGGCGGGAAGCTCCTTTCAAGGTGAGAAATCAAGAAACTCCCTGGTCATCCCTGGTCAATCTAGTCAGGTCAAATGGAGGGCATGGGATTCATCAAGAAGTTTTCAACATCAGGGTCTTCGCATCAGTGTGGACTCTTGAAATTGCCAAGTCTTCCCCAAATCGTGAATCCAGTGAAGCATTCAAATGATATGAAACACTATGAAACACTATGAAACACAAGATCTTTGTCTATCTGCGTGTCTTTGTCTCCCGCCGTCCTCTTCGTCATCTTCTTCTTCATCTGGTTCCATGGGAGCATCTTCCCCATCATCCTGAAGTCTGGGTGCTCGAAACATGATGATAACCTGCAAATATCTGGGCATGAGTAGCCAAAGCCTCGTGTGTGGTTCTGCATATCCAGGCAGTACCAAAAAGATGGTATGGTGTTAGTCTGTGATGTTTGAGTGGTTTGCATGTATTGCAGCACGTCTAAAGATAATCGCACTCAAGAGGGCCCAAACAAGAAAGCGTGCAAGATTTTGCAAGTACAATCTTCGCAGCCTTGATATGAAGATGCATCTTGAGCATTTGCAAACTACTCTAAACCCAGAAGTATCAATTGTGTACTCATGGCTGGGGGCACCCGTGTTTTTGCTTGTTGTGGGGCCATGTCTCAACAACATGAAACTAGCTTCTAAAGTCAGTAATCTGATTGTTTGCCCCATCCCTTGTGCCACCAGCTGTCGCTGACCTTCGCTTTGCCTTTTGCGGCCTTTGTTTTGGGTGCCCTTGTAGGCTTGGTCTTCTTGCCAGACCTGATCCACCGGATGAACAGCCAGATCCAGCCAATTGTAGTGTCGAACCCCCAGGATTCAACAATTGCCTTCCTCGACAATTGCGCATAGCTGGCATAGCACCTGAGTCGACCCTCTTCTTTCTTCATCTCCTCCTGGCAGCATAGCTAATCAATTGCAACGTGTCCCTTGAATCCCAATAGTATCCCGCTAACAGCCGCGAACAACCACTTGGGTTACTATGGTTACCAGGTCTTACAAGATCTTACATATGTTTTCCCGTTTTGTCTGTGGATGTCTGCCGTATCCATCTGTAGCTGTTGTTTTGCATTGCAAATGCTCCTCCTCTTCATCCATTCGATCAAGCTCGGACAGGACCACGTCCAAGTCTCTTTCCCACAAGGCCTCACAGACAGCTTTGCCACATACCAGGATCGCCCAACCTCACACTCGTGTCCGCCATCTTGGAGCCTTGCTTTTCCAAAATAAGGACCCAAAATTGAGTGCCGCTTTTAATAACAGAGACAGAATATGACAGAATGCTGTGCGCTTCAAACATGGCTCCTAAATGCTAAATACAATGACGAATTTGCATTAAATTGCGACTTGTCCACGGCCCAACATCTGCAGAGTGTCACTCCAGATTGGCGTGCGGCGCACCGGACTGCCTCGGGAGTTGTATTTTGTAAATCGGTCAACTCCGTGGTCTTCTCTTTGAGCTGTTTCCTCACGAGAGCAGAGAACGACAAAGAGGCAAAGTATCGCGCAGATCCGCGCAGCAACAATCATACCGCCAGTGAGATCCAGTGAGATCCAGTGAGATTTCAGATCGGTTTTTGCTGTATGCAGCACTTTCCAGACTTCAAGGACCTTCAACCCCGAATTCAAGGAGGATTCAAAGAGTTGATAAGCTGTACATAGCTGTACTGATCTGTGTCCTGAGATCCTCCACGCGTTCCCATGTCAGGGACCAAATCGGCATGCCGAGCCTCAAGATGAGCTGGGACTTGCTTGGACCTTTTCGACCCTAGTTGAACAAAACCCACAGGGAAAACATGGGAAAACCATGGAAAACCCCGTCTTCCAACATTTCCAACATCTTCCAACATCTTCCATCGTACGAATATGAGCAGCTACAATAACAGCCGAACACAATTGACACATTAAACATTACATATTGATGTTATGTCACCTCTATCCAATACATGCCATACCCGCAAAAGCAGGAGCTGTGCACCTGTAGATTGGAAGTTGGTAGACCATATTGAATTGGTATCAGCCGACTACAAGAGAAAACCCTTTCTCTTCAATTTTTAAGGTTGAATTTGAATACAGAATATACGGCTTTCTCATCAGGCGTCGGTCTTTGAGGTGCTGCCGAAGCCGCAAAGCCGCAATCATTGACTATTTGCATACTACACTGCTACTATGCGTCTTAAAATCTTAGCTTCCGACAAGTAGTCAAAGCCGCTCTTGGGTTCCTTGCCCTGCCGCAAAGAGCTACGCGAGCTCTTGCATATGTCTTGTGTGTTCTTGCCGTCAACTCGCAAAAAGGTGGCTCTGCATGATTTGTGAATAATAAAGAACAATTGTAACTATAGCATAACGTATGTATATTCTATAACCAGTGTATACATATTATCCTGTTGCACCAGGTTGTTACATCGATCCAACCCAACAGGAGAAAAAACAATCTCGCTGCAACCCTGACGTTGCGCCGCGTCTGACTTCAGGTGGCTATGAAGATAAAGTTTATGTTATTACCCCAATCAACATATTGTTCGTAGGGGGTGGCGAATTTTGATCCCTTATGAAGATAAAGTTCATGTTATTACCCCAATCAACATATTGTTCATAGGGGGTGGCGAATTTTGATCCCTCATGGAGATATAGTTGGTGTTATTACACCAGTCAACATATTGTTCAGAGGGGGTGGCGAATTTTGACCCCTCATGAAGATAAAGTTGATGTTATTACCCCAATCAACATATTGTTCAGAGGGGGTGGCGAATTTTGATCCCTTCATGAAGATAAAGTTGATGTTGTTACCCCAGTCAACATATTGTTCGGAGGGGGTGGCAAATTTTAATGTGATGATGATCATGATGTGATGATGTGATGATGTGATGATGTGATGGTGATGATGATGATGATGATGCTGATGATGATGATGATGATCATGATCATGATCATGGATCATGACGATTGTAAGTGTGGAGCAACGTCCGGGTTGGGGCGAACAATCTGCAAATCTTGAAACGAGGCAAACAAGTCAGGGAAGAAGCATGGGTCTGCATGCTTTTGTTGTATTGTACACCTTCGATGTAGCAAAGCCATCAAGCAGCACCGAGAAAGCATAGCCTCTTTTGCTGAGTGCAGGCCACTTGGCTCTTCATCCTCTGCAGAAGTGTCCATAGCATGTCATGAGTATTCATGAGTCATCTGTGTTGGCCAGTGCTTTTCAATTCTGGATAGGACCAACTGTGTGCTAAGCGCCAGTTCTGAGAGAACAATCAGCAAGGATTTTCTAACACTATGTATGGGCAGAAATGGCAAGCATCTGTCCCACACTGACACTTGTTACAGACTTCGATTGTCTCCACGAAGACTCTAATATGAGATGCATAATCCCGCCTTTGAACATCATGAATCAAGACGGGATTGATATGATCCCATGCGCACAGCGCACAGAGGTCGAAACAATCAGCCATTGCTATGAATGTCTAGATAGATAGATAGATAGATAGATAGATAGATACAGTAGATAGATAGATAGATACAGTAGATAGATAGATAGATAGATACAGTAGATAGATAGATAGATAGATACAGTAGATAGATAGAGTAGATAGATAGATAGATAGATAGCGTATTAATATATACTTTACAAATCTTTACAAGACATGACATTGGTTTCGTTCGCGAACTACCTGGAACAACCTGATTGGACATTAAAACAGAAGAGCTGGAGCAACCGTGGGCCACCTCCTCTGCAAACCGACTTCGTCCAAAAATCTGATTGTAGGGCCTCCGTTCACTAAATGACTCGCGAATAGCATGTTCATGCGACTTCGTCATTGCGTCTTGATTTCAAGATTTGAAATTACACAATGGCAAGAATTGAAAGTCAGAGTGAGACAAGTCAGACTTTATGCGCAAATGAATCGGCCTTTGGCCCTACTCCAAACTGAGCTTGTGTTGAAATATGTTGAAGTATTGACTTGACATCACGAGAACCATAAACGACTTGTCTATTGAATTCACATCCAGGGCATCCCAAGAGTCTGTCTGAACTCTCTGTGGTCCAACACTGTTCCCTAACAAGTACCAGAAGACATGCCAGGAACACTTGAAGCCCTTTCCTCAGTCGGTTGAACAAACAAAAATGATTCACAGGATCTCAGGGCCCAAGAAGAAATAGGATCGAATCGAATCGAAGAAGCCCTGCCTACGGCAAAACAAACAAAAACTCCAACTGGGCCGACTGCCTTTGAGGTCGGCAATCAAGTCATCGCGCTTGCGTTTCGCAACAACCTTGTTGCCAGTCAACATTCTGAGGTTACATATGGTTACATGCATTTTGAAAGCAGAACCGAAGTCTGGAGTCTGGAGGAAAACTGGATAGGCCAGAGGACTCAGCTAATTACACTAAATTGTCAAGCGATGGCCACACTCCATGTCAAAGATGACTAAAGAAGGCAAATCATCAAAGCTCAAAGTTGTCTCCTTGCCACGTGTCAAATGCACAACATCTTGGAGCTCCTGACAGTAATATACAGTAATTACAAATGCGACTCTGCACATTCTGATCGACGACCACGTCACCTCCCCTAGTCACCGGCTTGGGAAGCTGGCCAGCTCGCCCTTGATGACCATCAAAATGAAGCGAACCTGGTCTAGAGAAGCAGCAATGCAAGATATGCCAAGTGTTCCTTCAGGCAATATTCCTGCAGCAAACAGGCACAAAGTGGCAAATCCTTTGTGTATCCCTGTTGAGAACTTCCCTGGCCTTCGCATCAATGAGGTCTTTCTCCTTCTGGAGCCTCCAACAAAGCTCTAACAGAAAAGATTCCCTTTCAAGCAGCGATTCCCAGGAGTCAGCAATCCAATCATACTCAAATATAGCTATTTAAATCTATTTAACATACGTAGCCCGTAGCTATTTAAGATTATTTAAGTATCCGCCGACCCCGGCAGACGCAAGGGGGAGTGCGTAAGGGAAAAAGAGTTTATGACACAGCTGCCAGGAAAGAATAATAATAATTCGCTGACCCCGGCACTGCTACTTTTACTACCAGGCAGCAGCAGGCAGCAGCAGGCAGCAGGTAGCAGCCAGCAGCAGCCAGCAGCAGCCCGCACCAGCCAGCAGCAGCAACCAGCAGCAACCAGCAGCAGCCGGCGTTAGGCAGCCAGCAGCAGCCAGCAGCAGCCAGCAACAGCCAGCAGCAGGCAGGAGCAGGCAGCAGCCAGCAGCAGGCAGGAGCAGCAGGCAGCAGCAGGCAGCAGCAGGCAGCAGGCAACAACAACAACAACAACAACAACAACAGCAACAACAACAACAACAACAACATTTTATGGCAGCAAGCAAGAGCAACAGCAACAGCAAACAACAACAACAACAACAACCACCTCCAACAACAACAACCACCTCCAACAACAACAACAACAACAACAACAACAACAACAACAACAGCAGCAACAGCAACAGCAACAGCAACAGCAACAACAACAACAACAATGACCCTTTGCCGGGGGACCTTGTTGGGTCCCCCTCCCACCGGTCACGTACGTCGATTCATTGACTCCGGGGTTTTTGTTTTACCGGTGGGGGGTCCTTCCCGGAGTCTCCTGGAGGTACGTGGGGCTCCTTGGGTTGCCCTTCCCGCCCTGATTTGTTCGTTCGAGGCCGATTTCCTGGTGGGAGTGGTTCGATTTTTCGCGTCGCAGCCTGCCACTGGAGTAGCAGGAGCAGGAGCAGCAGCAGCAGCTACAATCATTTTTTCTATAAGTTTCAGAAGAGTAGCAGGAGCAGCAGCAGCAGCAGCAGCAGGTGGAAAAAGCAGCTAAATCATCTTTTGCAGCAGCAGCAGCAGCAGCAACGGCAGCAGCCGTCTAGGATCTCTCATAAGTTCCCACAGGTCTTCAGGTCTAGTAAGGGTTCCAGAAGTCACATTAGGCACTTTTTCGGTGCGATTCTGGGGCCTGTTCGTCCTTCCGTGCCTTACTGTTTTGGTGCGGGGAGGTGCTTTTGGTACTCTTCTGTCAGCAGCAGCAGCAGCAGCAGCAGCAGCAACGGCAGCAGCCGTCTAGTATCTCTCATCAGTTCCCTCAGGTCTTCAGTTCTAGTAGAGTTAGCAGCCGTCTAGTATCCTTCATCAGTTCCCTCAAGTCTTCAGTTCTAGTAGGGTTTCAGAAGTCACGTTAGGCACTTTTTCGGTGCGATTCTGTGGCCTGTTCGTCCTTCCGGGCCTTGCTGCTTTGGTGCCGGGAGGTGCTTTTGGTACTCTTCTGTCATCAGCAGCAGCAGCAGCAGCAGCAGCAGCAAAGGCAGCAGCCGTCTTTTGGTACTTTTTTGTCAGCAGCAGCAGCAGCAGCAGCAGCAACGGCAGCAGCCGTCTAGTATCTCTCATCAATTCCCTCAGGTCTTCAGTTCCCGTAGAGTTAGCAGCCGTCTAGTATCCTTCATCAGTTCCCTCAAGTCTTCAGTTCTAGTAGGGTTTCAGAAGTCATGTTAGGCACTTTTTCGCTGCGATTCTGTGGCCTGTTCGTCCTTCCGTGCCTTGCTGTTTTGGTGCCGGGAGGTGCTTTTGGTACTCTTCTGTCATCAGCAGCAGTCTTCAGTTCTAGTAGGGTTTCAGAAGTCACGTTAGGCACTTTTTCGCTGCGATTCTGTGGCCTGTTCGTCCTTCCGTGCCTTGCTGTTTTGGTGCCGGGAGGTGCCGTAGCACAACAGCAGCACCACAGCAGCACCACAGCAGCACCACAGCAGCAGCAGCAGCAGCCACCAGCAGCAGCACCAGCAGCAGGCAGCAGCAGGCAGCAGCAGTAAGTCCAACAGGCACCAGTAGCAGCAAAAGCGTCTGCAGCAGCAGGAGGAAAAGGTAGCCAAAATTCATTTTCTATGGGTTTCAGAAGTTACGTTAGGCATTTTCGGGGTGCAATTTTGGGGCTTCTCCGTCCTTCAGAGGCATGGTGTTTTCCTGCCGGCAGGTGATTTTTTTCATGGTGTTTTCCATCCGGGAGCCAGCAGCAGCAGCAGCAGCAAAAGTCTGTGCAGCAGCAGGAGGAAAAGGTAGCCAAAATGCATACATAGCAGCAGCTACAGCTATACTACTACTATTATGGGTTTCAGAAGTTACGTGTCTGATACTAGTACTATATTATGGGTTTCAGAAGTTACGTTAGGCATTTTCGGGGTGCAATTTTGGAGCCTCTCCGTCCTTCAGAGGCATGGTGTTTTCCTGCTGGCAGGTGATTTTTTCCATGGTGTTTTCCATCCGGGAGCCAGCAGCAGCAGCAGCAAAAGTCTATGCAGCAGCAGGAGGAAAAGGTAGCCAAAATGCATAGCAGCAGGAGGAAAAGGTAGCCAAAATGCATAGCAGCAGCTACAGCTATACTAGTACTATTGCGGGTTTCAGAAATTACGTTAGGCATTTTCGGGGTGCAATTTTGGGGCTTCTCCGTCCTTCCGAGGCACGGTGTTTTCCTGTCGGCAGGTGATTTCTTCCATGGTGTTTTCCATCCGGGAGCCAGCAGCATCAGCAGCAAAAGTCTGTGCAGCAGCCCAAAATGCATAGCAGCAGCTACAGCTAGACTACTACTATTATGGGTTTCAGAAGTTACGTTAGGCATTTTCAGGGTGCAATTTTGGGGCTTCTCCGTCCTTCAGAGGCATGGTGTTTTCCTGCCGGCAGGTGATTTTTTCCATGGTGTTTTCCATCCGGAAGCCAGCAGCAGCAGCAAAAGTCTGTGCAGGAGCTTTTCCATGGTGTTTTCCATCCGGGAGCCAGCAGCAGCAGCAGGGATACTAGCTATTATGGGTTTCAGAAGTTACGTTCGGCAGCAATTTTGGAGCTTCTCCGTCCTTCAGAGGCGTGGTGTTTTGCTGCCATCCGGGAGCCAGCAGCAGCAGCAGCAAAAGTCTGTGCAGCAGCAGGAGGAAAAGGTAGCCAAAATGCACACATAGCAGCAGCTACAGCTATACTACTACTATTATGGGTTTCAGAAGTTACGTTAGGCATTTTCGGGGTGCAATTTTGGGGCTTCTCCGTCCTTCAGAGGCATGGTGTTTTCCTGCCGGCAGGTGATTTTTTCATGGTGTTTTCCATCCGGGAGCCAGCAGCAGCAGCAGCAAAAGTCTGTGCAGCAGCAGGAGGAAAAGGTAGCCAAAATGCATACATAGCAGCAGCTACAGCTATACTACTACTATTATGGGTTTCAGACGTTAGGCATTTTCGGGGTGCAATTTTGGGGCTTCTCCGTCCTTCAGAGGCATGGTGTTTTCCTGCCGGCAGGTGATTTTTTCCAAGGTGTTTTCCATCCGGGAGCCAGCAACAGCAGCAGCAAAAGTCTGTGCAGCAGCTACAGCTATACTACTACTATTATGGGTTTCAGAAGTTACGTTAGGCATTTTCGGGGTGCAATTTTGGGGCTTCTCCGTTCTTCAGAGGCACGGTGTTTTCCTGCCGTGTTTTCCATCCGGGAGCCAGCAGCAGCAGCAGCAAAAGTCTGATACTACTACTATATTATGGGTTTCAGAAGTTACGTTAGGCATTTTCGGGGTGCAATTTTGGAGCTTCTCCGTCCTTCAGAGGCATGGTGTTTTCCTGCCGGCAGGTGATTTTTTCCATGGTGTTTTCCATCCGGGAGCCAGCAGCAGCAGCAGCAAAAGTCTGTGCAGCAGCAGGAGGAAAAGGTAGCCAAAATGCATAGCAGCAGGAGGAAAAGGTAGCCAAAATGCATAGCAGCAGCTACAGCTATACTAGTACTATTGTGGGTTTCAGAAGTTACGTTAGGCATTTTCGGGGTGCAATTTTGGGGCTTCTCCGTCCTTCCGAGGCACGGTGTTTTCCTGCCGGCAGGTGATTTCTTCCATGGTGTTTTCCATCCGGGAGCCAGCAGCATCAGCAGCAAAAGTCTGTGCAGCAGCCCAAAATGCATAGCAGCAGCTACAGCTATACTACTACTATTATGGGTTTCAGAAGTTACGTTAGGCATTTTCAGGGTGCAATTTTGGGGCTTCTCCGTCCTTCAGAGGCATGGTGTTTTCCTGCCGGCAGGTGATTTTTTCCATGGTGTTTTCCATCCGGAAGCCAGCAGCAGCAGCAAAAGTCTGTGCAGGAGCTTTTCCATGGTGTTTTCCATCCGGGAGCCAGCAGCAGCAGCAGCAAAAGTCTGATACTAGTACTATTATGGGTTTCAGAAGTTACGTTCGGCATTTTCGGGGTGCAATTTTGGAGCTTCTCCGTCCTTCAGAGGCATGGTGTTTTGCTGCCATCCGGGAGCCAGCAGCAGCAGCAGCAAAAGTCTGTGCAGCAGCAGGAGGAAAAGGTAGCCAAAATGCATAGCAGCAGCTACAGCTATACTACTTCAGAGGCATGGTGTTTTCCTGCCGGCAGATGATTTTTTTCATGGTGTTTTCCATCCGGGAGCCAGCAGCAGCAGCAGCAAAAGCCTGTGCAGCAGCAGGAGGAAAAGGTAGCCAAAATGCATAGCAGCAGCTACAGCTATACTACTACTATTATGGGTTTCAGAAGTTACGTTAGGCATTTTCGGGGTGCAATTTTGGGGCTTCTCCGTCCTTCAGAGGCATGGTGTTTTCCTGCCGGCAGGTGATTTTTTTCATGGTGTTTTCCATCCGGGA